AGTTTATTAAATTGGATTGGTTGATTTTTTTTTCATATATGATAGATAAATTCATCAAGTTTTTATTTCTACATATAATTTACAAAAATACTATTCAATGGTATCATCTTAAATTAAAATATAAAGCTTTTCTATTTCTACAAAATATTATGCAATGTTGCCTTGCGAAATGTCAACCCAAAAATGTAAAACCTTGTCGACATAAGTACTGTCACCAGTACCCGCTGGTTTCGCGCATAGATTATTTTTATCGACACCATTCTGACCTGAATTATAAGCACGAAATGTAATGCCCCAATCTTGATCTGCAAATGTGTCATACATCTGTTTAAGATAGCTGGCACCAAGCATAATTTCTTTTTCTATACCATAAAGACTAACAAAACGATGAGGATATTGTTGTTGAAGTTCGGCACCTCTATACTCATTTACTTGCATGAAACCCGAACCGACTCCAAAATTGCCTGGATTTGTTATCGTGTTAACATTTATATTACCTCTAGACTCTTGATAGATGACAGCGCCGATGAAATCAGCTGGCACATTCGTTTCTTGTGCTGCAGAATCGATTAAATGGCGTAGTTGTCCAATGGGCTTCGGAGCTCTTTCGCTCAATGTTTTATCCAATCGGGCACAAGCAGATGCTTGCCATGTCGGTAGTAATGGTTCTTCAGTCGATGACAATGTGTTTGTCGATGACAATGTGTTTGTTGATGACGTGTTGTTGGATGCTTTGAATTAAAAGAAAAATATCAATATGTATTTATATTACTTTTTTTTCGGATCAATTGCACAAATATCTCGGTGTAACGCTTGACAATAATAAAGTTCTAGTAAATCTACATTCCGAATGTCTTCCTAATCATATTTTAAGAATTTTTCATCTACATGTTTTTCGATACTTCGATAGGACAATATCGGTTTCCTATACTAATTTTTTTGAATAAATAAAAAGCTGAAATACATCAGCAAATTCAAAATCACAGGAGATCTAGACTTAATGCACACTGAGGTCTTCTAATATGGGAGGTTCTTCTATTATATACGGAGGGGAGTTGACCACATTTGGATTGTTTATCACACAATAGCATTTTAGCAATGACTTCCATCTTTTCTACTAGAATCATGAAATTGCTTGCGTATCTCGCTTGTAAAGTGCATAAGGAAATAAATCACTAGTGAAATGACAATTCACCAGTCATGATCATCACAGCAGACGCTTCTCTATTCCAAAAAACAAGTTATGATTGATTATATACCTAGTCGAGAATCAGCTTAGAATGGACTGACGAAGAGAAAGGAATGCGAATATTTTGTACCTTGTTGATTTTATCATTTTAGAAAACAATTGCTTTTTTTAAATGATCGATGGTTGAGTTTAAAGTTCCAATAGCTGGGCTCAGCTCAACATAGCCCTATCCTGGTTATGCCACTACTTTTAATCTACATATATCAACCTGCTTTTTTTCATATTTTATTTTAATAATCGTTTACAATAAAGCTGTATTTATCTGAGGAAAATAGTCTGTTAGAAATTTAGTAATTTCATATTCGCCATGTAGATATAAAGAATACAGTTTAGCACAATTGATTCGCGTTGCATTTCTTGTGAAATCTTCGGTAACTCTCTTCAGTGCTTCATAATCGACAGAAAGATAAACATTATTCGACAAACATATTTCTGTATCAACTAGAAATTGTTCGACATAATCATCATGAGCTTGATAAAGATGAAGACGAATAAGATGAGGATATTCAATAATTGATAAATCTTGATTGTCGACTTTCTTTGATTTTCTATATAATTTATTCTTCTGAGGTTTGTCATTAATTACAGATAAGTTTTTCATAAATGGAAAAGATTGAGCAATTTGACGAAAAAATTCATATTCAAATGGACGATCATCAAATAATTCAACTGTTTGAACATATTTAAATAATCCACCTGGAAAATTATTTGTGATATCATCATAATATTTCATTCTATATGGATAAGAATAAATATGACAGGAACCACATTGTCTTTTTTGGAAATAATCAACACAAGAAACAATTTGATTATTTTTAAACTCTTTGAATGTATGTTGAATATCTTCATTTGAAGGTAAATTAATTAGATTATAAGAAGATTCAAATGAACGAATATTAAATGCAAATTTATTTAATTGTAACATATAATTAATTATATTTTCTTTTAAATACTTCCCATCAATAAATCCGTTACCACGAACAACATTATGAAGATGTAAATCAAGTTTTTCTAAGTTCAACATTCGATGTAGTAATGGTACAATTAATTCATCATACTCAAATGTACGCATATCACAATATAATGAAAAACATCTTAGATTAGGTAATTTTTCCTAGAAAAATCAAATTATTTCGATAAATTTTACATTAATCAGTAATTTACCTCATTATTGATTGTTAAACTGTGAGAGGAAATGGAACAAATATTAACATAGAATGTATGAAGTTGATTAAAACGTCCATCAAGTAAATAAAGACAATCACTGAAATGTAACACACAAACATGTAATTCTAATAGATTTGAAGACAGAACAGTTGGAAGTAACATGCCAAATGATAATTGTAGATAGGAAATTGAAGACGGACCGAAATTTAAATATTGTAAATTGATGAACATAGTAAAAATATGTGCAAATACAACTCTACCAGTATCGAATACTAAGATTTGTTTTTTATTTTTATTTATATCGATAACAAGTGATGATATTTGACCTTTGTTTACATAAATAAAAGTAGTGTCGTCTAAATAAAAATTAAAATGTCTTCAGAAATAAACTCATTATATTTAATATTAAGCAAATCATATTATTGATTTGTTTAATTTATTTAAAATTAATAATGGAACATACAAATTCATACTTAGATTACTGAATGATCTACTCAACTATATTATAAATGTAATAAAACAAATAATGCTGAATTTTTATTCAGTTTTCATTTAATTTAAAATTAAAATAATCGAAGTAAAATAACCTACCAAAGAGAGATGTAGCTTTTTCTAAATCAATATCATATAAACCAAGTTCATATAAATTAGGATAATTTGTAGTAAGAAGAATACGTTCCATAGATGTCGATTCAAGTTTAAGCGATTTGACTTTATAATGAATCGAAGGTAAAATTTGCGAACAAAATCGATCAAGCATTGGATCAGGTAATGGAGAGATTAAGTCATCTTGTTTACAAAATAATGTTAAATAACTTGCAAAAGTTGAATCATGCGCAATTGTATTGAATCGTTTATTAACACCTATTAAAGAATAGAGTACTTCGACATTGTACAATTTTTTCAAGATAGTTATCAGAATCTCATCTGGTAAATCATTTAATTTAATCGATAGATGTTCCATTTTTATCTACACTTCAATGTATTTTTTGTCTTTTAGATGTGAATATATATATATACTCATTTCATCTATTTGACCGATGTCGTCAATGAGAACAATGATATACTTTTTCTATAGTTTAGATCAACAATGAACGAATAATTGAATGAATGAAAGAAAGAAAGAATGAGATTATCTCTCTCTCTCTGTCATTGTCGTTAAAATATCTGATATTGTGGACATTTATAACTATTGATTGCTGTTTTGATCCTGTTAAGAGGATTATGTTTTATGAGACCAACAAAGAGTTTTGTTTTAATATTCTGTATTAATGTGCATGATATGAATAGACAATTAGCAATGAGAGAATTTTCAAGTATAATTAATTCGAGAACCAAATGTGATCAGTGACGATGGTGAAAAAAACGTAAAATATTCAAAATAAGAAAGTCATTTAAAAATCGAAAAATTTAAATATATATTGACTGTAACTCCCTCTGTTACAATATTTGGATCGTATGAAGAAGAAAAGAAAAACAGTAGAAAACACAACAGTTGAATAATAAAATTTGGATTTGTTATTTCATTGGTTCATAAATTCATACGAAATGAAAATATTTGTTTCCTTAACATATTCGCGTCTGTGTTTGCAATTAGTAGGTGCACAACCAAGTAGAAATAAAATATATAGTATATCTGGTATTTTCGATGTATACGCTATTTTACACGTTCCTCAGATAAACATAATGTATATTGCACATTTTGCTGAAGATATTTACAGTTTGATTCGAGATCTTTGACCACTATATGCAGTAATTAATTCAAGATTATATTTAGATGATAGTAGTACTATCAACCGAATACAATCCTTAATTATTGTTTATTATATAAATTCAATATTTACTTTATTTTCTCATTTACTTGTGATGAAAACGTACCCGTATTTGTTTACTAAATACCAATTATATTTCTCATTAAAGAAAAAATACAAATTTTATTTTTTATTTTTTAGATTGAGCAAAATTCATTACTGTCGTCGAAAAAGAAAAAAAATGGAAAATTTTCGTGCTATTAAAGTACCTTTTTTATAATTTTGAGGCCATTTACAATATTTTTTCCCTTTTTTTTTCTAGGAAACATTTGAATTATACGTTACACAACCGATCGGTCATATTTCATTGACAACTCGAGTTTTTTTTTATTGTGTGGGAATGATTGGCGTGGTGTCAATGGCTGGTGCAAGATCACTATGTTCCAGTTTAAATTTGAACGACATATATCTTGATACATATATCAATCAACTAAATATTGCAATTAAAGAAAAGAGAAAACCATTTGGATTTCTTACTTTTAGTTTTACCTGTTCATTAAATGTGATGAATTCAGTTGTATTTGAGACAATTGTATCAGATACATATGGGTTACTTATTAATCTTGTTCTAGGATTTATTATAGAAGCGATTGGTCGTACATGTAAAATAAAAAAATGTCATGAAAAAACAATTATTAAAATTTTATATTGGTATATTCAAATCGATTCCCGTCTGATTACAGCGTTTATGTTTATATATTTTATTACATTATTTACCTACTGATTTCACTACAGACCACGCTTTCGTTAATAAATCTTTATTAAAGTGCTGCTATTCATATCTTTTTTTTTATTTTTA